CTTCGAGGTGGATCTACCTCTTGCCCTACACAGACTTGATTCTCAGTCATCTTGGCATCGAGCTCGTGCTGAGTGCCATTGTTCCCATTCAAACCTCTCTGTTCTGCCGTGTTAGCAGAGTTTGCTGACTGCACCATCTCGAATCGCTTAGTTGCTGGGATAACTTAAAATGTCCTTCCCACAGATGGTGCCAAATGTTTATGTAGTAATTTGCACAACTTCAATATTAGCTCGAACTCGGTCTTCGCTCCGACATAAAACTCTAATGGAAGACCTACACAATAGGGCAAAATCTCATACGCTCAAGTCAGTAAGCAGCTCAGACTCAATATTAAGTTCGAGGAGAAATTCGATACCTGATGGTGAAATGAGGCCCTCTAGTTATAGGTTTAGGTTTCGACAGGGGTCACAACAGGCGGTTACCTTGGTCAAATTTAAGGTCGGACGTGTCAGGTTCAAGCAGACCGAACTCAAACACTTTCCCCGAAATAGTAAACTAACTTTGGAAGAAAATAGTGGTCTTCGTCCTTGGAGGGTTCCAAGGTGGACCTCTATGAGTTGTTCTTTCTAAATGGTGAATCGTTGTCCCCCACATGGCGGTAAGATTTTTTCTCCTGAACAAACTAAAAATGAATAAATGAATGAAAATAATTAAGACTACTTTCCAGAATTTGACACCAAAAGCAAAGGCATATAAAAATGTTTATGAGGGTTGGATTTGAATAACTCTGAAAGATTAAATTTATATGAGATTTGGCCAGGTGAATCTTCACCTTTGTGCTGCTCCTCTAAATGTAAATGTATAATTTTTTCAAAGTAATACACCATAAATAAAGAATTGAAACTTATTTTTTTGTTTAGCACAATAAATGAGTGGATGAAGATTGGACTTCAGACCTCTAAGACAGAAGGTAAAGTGTTTCCCTTTTGTAAAGGTAAAATGCCTCTCTTCCATGGTAGTGGTACGTTTGGGGTTGGGGTCGTCTTCTCCGATTACACGTTGGTGACTTCTTAGTCTGGCAGCGATGGCCGGCTGTGCATTGCAATGTTGTGGTGATTTGTTTCTGGGGGATCCTGCATTCGATTTCGAATTATATCATTTGGAGAATTATGCTCTAAAGTTTCTGCTTATATAAAGAAGTCTCAAAAAGTCAATCAAATACTACTCCGAAATAAGTAGCACTCAAAGATATGGGTGGACAGTTCAAGATATCAGGAATACAATGTACCTTATGTTATTATGCAACTTAATATCTCTGTTGTCTTGATTATTGAGCATGCACATTTCCTTCTATCCCACCTTTACCTAAGCTCTGTTACAACCATTGTTAAATTCCCTTTGATTTTTGCATTTTATTCATCTAAAAGTGGGGAAATTTGATTCATTTGCAAACCTATGGTAATAACATGTTTGGTTTTGAGAGAAAAAAGAACCCTAAAATGATATTGAGAGATTGAAGTGAATTCCTATGAGCGTGTCAAGTCTTTTACATTGGATTTCAAGGAATTGATGAGATGTTTGAATTCTTTTACAAATTATATCTTATCATCCCTTATTTCTTGATTGTCATTCTAATTATATTCATCTCATAGATGCATGATTAACTTGTATTTTTGGGTATTGAGAAGAAGGAAATGGAGTATAAGGGAGAGTTGGTATAGTGAATAAGATGTACGTGAGGATAAACATGACTTAGGTTTAGAAGAATTTTCTATGAATAATGTGCACCCATATTTAGCTTTCCTTGATTATTTGATATTAGATTGCTATATTTGTTCGAGGACAAGCAAAAGGTTAAATTTGGGGGTGTTGATAGCTCCTGATATGAGCTATATTTTATAATCATTATAGTGGAATTAATTGTTAGTTTCCATTTCTTTATGATCAATTTATGATCATAAATGTTGTTTTATAGAATGATCGAAACATCGAATTGATCAAATAGAGCAGAAGACCATAGCCCGACCAAGTGGAGAAAGCCCCACAACATGATTTAGAGCTAAAAGATTTGAGGGGGTAGCATTGAGATGTTACCAGAGCGTCTCAATGCTCTAAAAGAAAGTCCAGCCAGATGACCAAACAGAATAGCGTCTCAACACTACGATTGCAAAGCATCTGTAAGAACGCTTCGCGTCGTAACGTCGAGACACCACTTACAACATCTCAACGCTACAACGCCAGAGCTGCTTACGCCAACATTTTAAGGCACAACGTTAAGATGCTGCCCCTAGCGTCTCAACGCTATCGAGATTTTTTCTATAAATAGGGACCTATGCATATCAGAATCGAGGGAGATCCTAGAGGGAAACTTACAGAGTATTTTGAGGAAGAAGCCAGGTTTTGAAGATCGATTGTTGAGATTGAGTCGGGGACGATCAATCAACATGACATATTCACTTCCTATCCATTTTCTTTTATTTGCTAGTTTGATCATGAACATGAGTAACTAAATTCTGTTGTCTTAGCGATTGATGTAGTCATTGACGTTTATGGATTGATTTTTTGATGTACTTAATTCAATGCATTTATTTATTATATTTATGTTTTTCTTTGCTTCATGTCATCAATATACTAGCTACAAATTAATTGATCTTAGACTTATAGTCTTATGCTCGGGAGAGGTGATTGAGAGTTGAAAACTGGGATTCATAAATGAAGACGTTTTAAGATCGGGAGATTTAGAATTCTTTTAAAGGTCATTGAGAGACTTGTTCATTAAAACACTTACTTGTTATAGAAACTAGATAGAGATATTGATTTCGTAATTTAGTAAGGAGACTCGACTTGCGCTCGGGAGAGGCAGTTGAGATTTGAGAGTTCTTGGCCTGTAGAATTGAGAATCTGTTCAATCTTGATAAATTAAATAATTGGTTCATAAATTCAATAAGTAAAATTTATTCCCTATGATCATACTTCCCATTGACTCTACATTCTTTAATATTTTATGTTGATTTGTCTTAATCATATTCTAACATCCGAATTTGATTTTCTAAATAAAATTGGGGAAAAGTATCTATGGTACTTGAGTGATCTAGAAACTCAATTTTGAGGCGATATCAGTATTGACTTACCATTTTATTAAAATTTGACCCATACACTTGCAGCAAGCAATTTCTGCTATAATATGTTATGACCAGTTGTTATCTGAAAGATCTCTGCAAAGCTGTGTTGGAAAGCCCCACCGAGGCTAATAGTGATTCCTCCTAGTGTAAAAGTTTTAGGTGAAAAAAAAGTGTGCATAGTCTATACCGTTGCTAAAAAAGTTTTCATGTTTTGAAAAAAGAAAAGATTTTAAGAAACTTTTTATCATAAGGAACTTTGTTGACTTATGTTAAATTGGTTTTTGAAGATAGGAAGAAGATAATGTTTTGATGATCTTTTTGAGATACCATATGAAAAAAGTTTAAGCCTATCTTTGTGTTCAATGCTGTCCATGGTTATTGCATGTGGATTGAGAAATGTAAATTGTTTAAGTTTGCTTGGGACAAGTAAAAAGTCAAGTTTCGCGGTGTGATTTCTCTTATTTACAAGGATAAAAAGAAGCTCAACAGTACTGTTTGATCTTACTTTTCAACATTTAGTACAACTTTCAAACTTTTGAATAAACTAAATTATTCAAACATTTAAAACAATCTTACATTCATTCAAACTTTTAAAATCAGAGTGGAATGTTGCATTATTTGGGTAGCCTACAGAACATATGTAGTTACTCGTCAGTAATACCAATCAATTAGAAGTTTCAATCAGAGTTGTCGAACTAATATTGAACAGAACAGAGTTGCTGAAATAACATCGACTAGAACAAATAGAACGATTACTTAAGTGTGAGGTCACGCGAGTGAATAACACAGACATGAATCTTCCTACCAAAGAAATGTCAAACCACAAAAATGTCTTCCCACAAGTAAGTCGAAACAGAAATCCATCAATTCCAAATTAGGCTACTACATCAAATAGGCAAAACATTCCTCAAAAAAAAAAAGGCATATCAGGATATCCCTATCAAATCAATCAAAACTATCTTTCAAATAAATATGTAAAACAAAAACATACTTTCAATATGAAATCAGTTCAAAACATTTAAATAATTTCAAACAAACTTTATCGGATCATACAAAACATAATTTCAAATATTTCACAAATAAACCAAAGATCAATTTCAAAACATTTAAATAATTTCAAACAAAACTTTATCAATTCATACAAAACATGCTTCAAATAGTTTGCAAATAAACATAAGATTAATTTTTCGAAGGGATATAACAAATTACTTACAATACTTTTAGAAGGGATATGACAAATTACTTACAACACTTTTCGAAGGGATATGGCAAATTACTTACAACATTTTTCGAAGAGATATGGCAACTTACTTACCACATTTTTGGAAGGGATATGACAAATTACTTACCTCTTTCAGAAATCCTACTTCTTCTTCATTGGGTAGTTGTTAACCTTCTTAGAGACCTAGAAACAACCAATATCCAAAATCAATCCTT